TTATTAATTTGTAACATTTTAGGTTATAATACTTTCAAATTTTTTAGGAATAATTTCATATATATATTAATTCTTTTTATTTACAATATTTGTAAATTTTCTGAATAAATTTATCATTTGCACGAATGTATTTTTCGAAATTTCGAAACTTCGAAGTTTCGAAGTTAATTTTAAACTTCGAAGCTTCGAAGGCACCTTAAACTTCGAAGCTTCGAAGTTCGAATGTCGAAACCTTCAAAGCAAATCACCAGCCTACTATGAACAAAGTATAGAATCGTTATGAAGATCCGAGCGAGAAAGCGGGAAAATGTGAGTAAAGGTTGAGCCAGACGCAGAAGTTTTTAATTGATCAGCCTCAATAAAACATTATTTTTCTTGTACATAAACATGTAAATATGTTGACATAGTTACGGAATTCTACTCTTGTCATTTACACCAGCTCTGCGAGATCCATCCACATTCTCTCTGCCAGCGAATGAGTGGGAAAAACGAATAAGCATAACGGCTCGTCCGCCCCCACGAACAATTTATGATTTTTACAGATAATAAACAAGGCTTTAATAAATCTGAAAAATACATTATTTTTACGTCGTCACTGAAATTAGGAAAAACAAAATTTAAGGTCATCATTTGTCTTTTTTTTTCTTTTCCTTTATTTTTAGTGTAAAAGCGAACCAAAGAAAAACAAACTTATTCTCAGAGTTTGCAGATTTGGTACATTAAATTAAAATAATTGGAAATTTTCAGGAGAGCTTGGTTTAACTGTAAGAGAGACATCAAATGGAGTTTACATCGACAGTCTTCGCCCGGCAAGCACAGCAGATCGGTGTGGTGCGTTGCAGGCAGGAGATCGACTATTAGCTGTGGATGACATGCCTGTTCAGGATGCGGTGACTGCTGCCAAGCTGCTTAGAAACAATTCCGAAAGTTGTCGCACCGCCAGAATACAGATATTACCGCGACCACCGAGCGCAAGGACAGTCAAAAGAAAGGCACAGCCACAGGCTCAACAAAACTCAAATCAAACTCTGCAAATAAAAGAGAGCTTGACCGTTGTTCTTCGACCGGACCATCGAGGTTTCGGACTTGCACTTAAATTAACCGAAGATCGTATGAATTATATAGTGAGCTTGCTGGAAGCTGGCGGTCCAGCGGAACGAAGTGGCATTCTTTTACCTGGCGATAAGGCTATTGCGATCAATCGGAGAATGTTACGCGATTTGCAACCATCTGAAGTAATCAACATATTGGAGACATCACAGATGGTAAATGTTTTTTGTTTTAAATTTTTATAGCAAATTTTTTTCGTCAAAAATATGATAAAATCAATTCTTATTCTTGTATGATGACATGAGCAGATCGAATTAGTGATAGAGTACAAAGTGGGTGGTTCGGTGGTACCAAATTCCGGAATCTTTACGGTGAGAGTGGCTAAGCCATTAGGCAGTCAGCCTGATCTGGGTCTCACGGTAAACGAAGATTTAGTAATCACAGAAGTCCGCCGAGGATCGCTCGCTTATCGAACTGGTAGTTTAGCATCTGGAGATAGATTGCTTGCAATAGATGGTCAAAAATTGGATCCTGGGGATTTGAGACAAGCAGCTCAATTATTGCATCGACCTGGCGGATCGGTGGTTGCTTTAACTGTTAGGAAGTCAGATACTAACACGGAAATAAGGTATGATATATAAAACATTTTCTACAAAAGCTCACAGTAATAATGTTTTCTACTGGAAAAATTGGTGCAGCAGTAGCACCAAGTTTTTTGTTTTTAACAAAATGTGTCATGATATATAAATTTTATCTAAGGAAACTTATTTTTTTATTATATTATGATAAGATATTATAAAAGGCTTATTTGGGACTTATAGAATACTTAAGTTCTAAAAATCTTAATAAAAAAATAAAAATAGGTCAAAAATTCTGTCAGAATTGCAAGTAATTTTTAATATTGATAAAGTATAATAAAATTAATGATTTACTTTACTTTAGTGATACTTGTATGCGATATAAAAATAGAGAATTGTTTTACATAATTTCAGTTTGATGTTTACGAAAATATCATGTTCTTTCATTTTTACATATTATACTCGTATTTCCTATCTTTGTATCACAGAGTAAAATAATAAGATAATTATGAAATATTTTGGAAATGATACTAAATACATCTTTCGTAACAGAGTAAGAATATCTGATAATTTTATATTTGATAATAATTTTTTGTTTTCATGTCATATACAGGGTGATTCAGAACAACCCCTCGTCCTTAAAAAGACGTATTCTTGACTCAATTCTAAGACGATTTTTCCTTTACAAAAATTTTGTCCGAAGCTTAGTTTTCAAATTATAACGAGAAATAGTTAGCAAATTACGGGCCGTGTACGGATGGTAGACAGGGGCGGCGCAACTTACTGTCCGCCGGCAGGCGGTACGCGGGACCGTCGCAATGATCAGCTGACTACACGCGCGCATAAACATGCGTTTTACATTCTCTCTCTCTCTCT